TAGACTTCTCTACCCCATTTCCTGTATTTCTTATTTCCCAGTAGCATGTGAAAGCTTTTTTTAAACATGTTTTTAAAATTTTAGGTTTCAAATTTTCTCCCTTCCTCCCTCCCCACCCACCCTCATTGAAAAGGCAAGCAACTCAACATAGGTTATACATGTGCAGTTATCCAAAACACTTCCATAGTAGACATATTGTGAAAAACTAACTCTATTTCCCTTAATCCTATTCTGCCCTCCCATTTATTCGACTCTTTCTTTTGACCCTGTCCCTCCTCAGAAGTATTTACTTCTGATTACCCCCTTTGCCAATCTGCCCTCCTCTCTATCATTCCCCTGCTCTCTTGTCTCTTTCTCCCCCTATTTTCCTGTAGGGTAAGACAGATTTCCATACCCAACTGAATGTGTATGTTATTCTCTCCATAAGCCAAATCCTATGAGAATAAGATTCACTCATTCCCTCTCACCTTCCCCCATTCCCCCTCCACTGTAAGAGACTTTTCTTTTCTGTTTTTTTTGTGTGAGATAATTTACCCCATTACACCTTTCCCTTTCTTCTTCTCCAAGTATAATCCTCTCTCATCTCTTAATTTTATTCTCCAGATATGATCCCTTAATCTTCAACTCACCCTGTGCCCTCTATCTATCTATCTATCTATCTACAGATACATACATATAATTTTTTTTCTCCAACTACCCTAATACTGACAAAGGTCTCATGAGTTAGTTGAACCTTAATAAGTCTCTTATAGGGGCAGCTAGGTGGCACAGTGGATAGAGCTCTGGCCTTGGAGTCAGGAGGACATGAGTTCAAATCCAGTCTCAGACACATGACACTTACTAGCTGTGTGACCCTGGGCAAGTCACTCAACTCTGACTGCCTCACCAAAAAGCAGAAAAAAAAAAGCCTCTTATGATTTCTCTTTCCTGTTTACCTCTTCATGTTCCACTTGAGTCTTGCATCTGAAAGTCAAATTTTCTATTCAGCTCTGGTCTTTTCATCAAGAATGCTTGAAAGTCCTCTATTTCACTGAATGACCATTTTTTCCCCCTGAAGGATTATACTCAGTTTTGCTGGGCAGGTGATTCTTGGTTGTAATCCTATCTCCTTTGCCCTCTGGAATATTATATTCCATGCCCTGCGGTCCTTTAATGTAGAAGCTGCTAAATCTTGTGTTATCCTGATTGTGTTTCCACAGTACTTAAACTGTTTCTTTCTGGCTGCTTGTAATATTTTCTCCTTGACCTGGGAACTCAGGAATTTGGCTACAGTATTCCTAGGAGTTTTCCTTTGGGGATCTCTTTCAAGAGGAGAACTGTGGATTCTTTCAATTTCTATTTTGCCCTCTGGTTCTAAAATATCAGGGCAGTTTTCCTTGATAATTTCTTGAAAGATGATGTCTAGGCTCTTTTTTTGATCATGGCTTTCAGATAGTCCAGTAATTTTAAAATTTTCTCTCCTGGATCTATTTTCCAGGTCAGTTCTTTTTCCAATGAGATATTTCACATCGTCTTCTGATTTTTCTTTCTTTTAGATTTGTTTTACAGTGTCTTGATTTCTCATAAAGTCACTAGCTTCCAGTTGCTCTATTCTAATTTTTAAGGAAGTATTTTCTTCAGTAATCTTTTGGACTTCCTTCTCCATTTGGCCAATTTTGCTTTTTAGGGCATATTTCTCCTCATTGGCTTTTTGTATCTCTTTTGCCATTTGGGTTAGGCTATTTTTTAAGGTGTTATTTTCTTCAGTAGTTTTTGGGTCTCCTTTAGCAAGTTGTTGACTTGTTTTTCATGGTTTTCTTGCATCACTCCCATTTCTTTTCCCAGTGAAAAACAACAAATCTTAAGGGACTGTACCAACTCTGGACGAGTGCCACTACTAGGACAGGATGCCCTGAAAAGTCAAACTTCTGCTCAGCATTGGGTATAGCTCTGTCACTTAAATAGCCAGAGCTCTGAAATTCATTTTGTCAGGGCCACTCCCAGTGGGGATATTGGGTGCTGCACATGATCAGGAACCACAGTAGAAAGCTTAATGAAAAAACATTAAACCTGTGGCTCGATGGGTTTTTTTCTGTCCAGCTCATGTCAAAAAATTATAAAAAAAAAACTAAAGAAGTAGGAGCTTCTGGTTTTTCATGGAAACAAATACTGAGTAGTGAAAACCATGAAATTTATAATAGCATTTAAGGAAGACAAGGTCTTATTTGGGTTCAGAAAATGGGAATTTAGAGTAAATGGGAAGTTTATTGCACTAAGCAAAATTAGTGGGAAAATGGTTCTGCAAAGTGTTGAACTAAAACTTAGGTCTCCTTTCTTTCATGTGGTTTATAGAGGAAGATTGGCTTACATCCACTCAGTTAGTGGTTGGTTCTCAAAAACTGCTAGATGAGTTTTGAATTGGTGGGTCACTTTTGTGAGTGTAAAGTATCTTCATGTATGTATATTCCTGCTGCATATGTTTCATAAAGGGAGAAAGATCTAATTAGATTCCAGGTTGTGTTACTCATGTATTATAAATTTCCATAAGGCAAGCGGAAAAGATAAACAGCTTACTCTAAGCATTAAGAAAACCTCTGAGGAGAAAGGTCTGTAACATAACCACTGTTGGTTAGCAGATGAATTTCTTTGGTGTTTTCACAAGAAAATGTTAAATAAAATGCTAGTTCTCCATAATTATGGGTGGGTGACTATGAGTCTGTCTACAGAAGAAAGCACAAACTTGGAAATTAACCACAATGAGAATTTGTGCACAAGAATTATTTGTAAAGCATATGGTTAAAAGACATCTTGGAGTATTTAAATACCTCTGGTATGCTCCAATAAGATCACTTGTGGTTTTGACAAAACATTTTAAGGCAGCATAACAAAGAACCACTTGTACAACTTTCCTTGCTTCTATGGGGTGGTTTGGGAAAGACAGTTTAAGCTGTCAAGCATTTTGGTAATTTGAAAAGTCATAATGCAAACTTTTGGAATATTCTTCATAATAAAATGAACCCAGTTGGAAGCCAAAAAGAAAAAAAAGGTAACAGTTTGTTTTTATTTTTTTTTATCTTTTTTTTTTAAGGCAGTTGGGGTTACGTGACTTGCCCAGGGTCACACAGCTAGTAAGTGTCAAGTGTTTGGTCTGAGGCCGCATTTGAACTCAGGACCTTCTGATTTAAGGGCCGGTGCTCCATCCACTGAGCCACCTAGCTAGCCCAATAGTTTGTTTTTAGATACACAATGTAACAAACATTTATAAGCATATACTATGTGCAGAGACCTAAGATAAGCATTGGAAAAGATACAAAGTCAATATATAACATCTCTGCACCCAGGGTGAGAGGAATAAGATGCTCAGATAGATAGACATAATATATAATAGTACTATATCCCATAAGTGCATTAAAAACTATGAAAATGAGTCAATGGTAGAGAGACTGCAAAAAGACAAGTACACTAACACACTACAGATGGAGTTGTGAATTAGACCACTTCAGAAATCAATTGATACCTTACATGAAGTCACTGGACTATTTTGTATCCTTAGATTCACTGATCCCATTACTACGCATATACTAGAAGTAGGTCAATGACAAAAAAGAAACATCTTGTAAATAACAAAATATTCATAGAATTTCTCTTTGTGGTAGCAAATACCTGGAAACAAAAAGGATGCCCAATAATTGGGAGATGTCTGACCTACGGCATATGTAAGTAAGACAAAACAAGAAATGATGAGGATTTCAACGAAACATGGAAAAACTTCTGGGAACTGATAAAGAGTAAAGCAAGCAGAACCAAAAGATCAATGGTTTCAACAACTACAATAATGTAAGTAGTAGTAGTAGCAGTAATAGCAGTAGTAGTCAGTCATACTGTGATGAATTGTAATGAACGGTCTTAGGACTGGAACTGATAAGGAAACAAACTTTTCTCCTCTTAAGAAAAGAGGCAAGAACAACAGGTATAGGATCTGGCTATGTCATTTGGCTATATCTAAATGTGGGGGATTTTTTCTACATCAAGCAGGAGAGAGTTAAGTAAAATTATAGTGTCAGAAAAAAAAACAAAAGAAAAAGCTATTTTGAAAAATGAGTGCATTTCAGAGTTACAAAACACTGCTAGCTGAAGAGGATTAGGAAAAACTTTCTAGACAAGGTGCGATTTAAGTTAGTATTTAAAGAATGAGTAAGGGGCAGCTAGGTGGCTCAGTGGATAGAGCACTGGCACCAGAGTCAGGAAGACCTGAGTTCAATCCAGCCTCAGACACATGACACACACTAGCTGTATGACCCTGGGCAAGTCACTTAACACTGACTGCCTTGCCAAAAAAAAAAAAAGAACGAGTAAAAGGAATCTACAGGTAAAGAACAAGAGGCAGGGCATTCCAAGTACAGGGAATTCTGAGCAACCTGACCAAAGGTACAGAAGGTTTAGTGACAGGAAGTTTACAATAAAGTCACTGAAAAATCCAGAAGAATGACCTGGAAGTCAGTAGCAATAAAGATGTGAAGAGTGGACAAACAAATTACAAAAACCTTTGAAGAGAAAAAGCCAGAGAGGGATAACAGCAGCTAAAGAATGTAAAGGCAGCAGCAGAGAATAAAAAAGTATTCTCTCCCTTCCTCAAGAACCTGTGAATCTAGAGTGATTGCAACTGAAGAGAAATGGAAGAGAGGTGGTAGCCTCAGGGGAAAGCCAGGTTTCCTTTAATACAAGGAGGCAGAAGCAATGCTCTTTGAAAGGTACAATGAAGTAGAAGCAATTTTATAAAAAAGCAGTAATTACAAAGGACATTACCTGGTATAAGCCAGGTAATGGGTAGCCCAAGTTGGTGTGGGCTATATAATAATTCCAAAAGCAGTCTGCCTTGTTAAATTTAGTTTTCCATCATGTTACTGGAATACATAGCACTACAGTAGAATATTAAGTGATATACTTAAAACTACTATTATTCTCTGAGTATTTAATTAGCTCAAATCTTCAACAAGGCACATAAGAAAAATGTCACTCACCGTTTCTGAAGGGAAGAATGGTGTGGGTAAATTCTGACTTTGTAACAAAATGCTTTCTATCACAAACGCTATGTGTTCTGCTTTAAGAACATCACCAGGATAAATAAAAGGAGAAACAAGAAGTAGAGCCCACTTATTTAAGTCATCAATGGACTAGAATGAAAGAGGAGAAAAAAAAAGGAAAAGATGTTAGATATCATTGCCATATTTCTATTATCATTATTCCAACAGTACAGTTCCAGGCAGTTCGAGCACAGGCATACCTCAGAAATATTGTGGATTCAGTTCAGGACCCACGCAATAAAGCAAGTAACACAATAAAGTAAGTCAAATAAATTTTTGGTTTCCCAGTGCATATAAAACTTATGTTTACATTATACTGTAGTCTATTAGGTGTACAACAGCACGATGACTACAAAAACAATGTACATATCTTAATTAAAAAATACTTTTGTTGTCCCCACCATGTTGTTGTCTCTTCTGCGGCTTCTCCCTCTTCTCTGGTTTCTCTGCCTGATCTCCTGACACTACTGAGGAGGGACAAATTTGCTCTTAGCAAGGAGGGTTCAACCCCTCCCCCCACCCCCACCCATCCTCCCTTAGTGATTAAGATGCTGTCATACATAAGGATGTTAACCTTGTCAGCCACGCAGATATACACTATTTTGACTGTCCAGCTGTTTACATTCTTTAACCTACTACCTGTAGAGGTAGACATTTTAGCATATAATTTTGAAAATATATCACAGACATTTGATGACTTTCCAGCAAGATTTGGTTATAGACTTCCAACCAAAGGTTTAAAGGGATTTTTGATAAACTCAAAACCACAGAATGCCTGGGAACCCACAGCAGCTCCACCACTGAAAGACAACTTCTCCAGTGTCTTCATTGTGTTAATTAGAAGACTTGACTGTAATTTTGATATTAAGGTTTTACATGCATAGAAAGCAGGATATAAAGTGGCCATATTACACAATGTTGATTCTGATGACCTAATTAGTATGGGATCCAATGACATTAGTATTTCTAAGAAGACTAATATTCCCTCTGTCTTTATTGGTGAGGCATCAGTTAATTCACTTAAAGATGAATTCACATATGAAAAAAATAGCCATATTGTTTTGGTTCTGAAGTTTAGCCTTCCTCTAGAATACTACCTAATATCATGCCTCATCACAGTGGGCATATGTTTCATCTTGACTGTCACCTTCATGACCAGAAAATTTGTATAGGACAAACATAGAGCTAGAAGGAATAGACTTCATAAAGATCAACTTAAGAAACTCCCTATACATAAATTCAAGAAAGGAGATGAGTGTGACATATGTGCCATTTGCCTGGAAGAATACGAAGATGGAGACAAACTCAGAATCCTTCCTTGTTCCCATGCATATCACTAATTAACTAAAACCAAAAAAACTTATCCAGTATGTAAACAGAAAGTTGTTCCTTCTGAAGCAGATTCAGACTCTGACACGGAGAGCAGTCAAGGAGAGAAGAAAGTCTCAGAACATACCCCTTAGATCATTAGCTTCTGTCAGTGCCCAGTGCTGCCATTTGGGGCTTTATCAGAATCTCATTCCCATCAGAACATGACAGAATCTTCAGACTACGAGGAGAAGGATGACAATGAAGATATTGATAGTAGTGATGCAGAAAGGTTGTCCAACGGCAGCCCAACGGTGACAGGAATTACAACATAGTAAATAAGGTTGGGACTTCCAACTCTATTCATCTTCATACCATGTAGGAAAAAAAACTGTTGACCAGCTTACCCCTTTATGTGTATTTAAGCATATACTTACATTGTCTATCACCCCCTTCAGTTACTTCTGTAGAGAGGAATCTTAGTGTGTTCTATGATTTAATCAGATTACATATATTTTTTTTAATTTTTTTTTTCTTAATCAGGTTTTCATCCACAAGAAGCACACTTCTTATTACTAAAGCAGAACATCATCAAGGTGCTGGACCTCAAGCACCATTCTCTTTCTGGAACGGAATATAGCCAAAAAATTTAAAAAAGAAAAGCCACTACAATTATGGCTTGCAGTGAAGACTTGATTACAGTATACAAGTGTATTTATTACCATGATGAATTCTGCTGCCACACCATGCACAGCCTAGCCCAATTTTCCGGAATTTTTGGTATCAACTTGTGGGTTTCCCCTAAACTGTCTTCATTATTGACAGATTAGGCCATTCAATATTTTTCTTATGAATACTGTAAAATGAAAAAGAAATATTTAGTAACAGAATTTTCTTTCCTATTCACAAATAGTATTTTAAGCCAGCAGTTTGAGGTGGAGTGCTGAAATTTTGATATTAAGACGGTTCTTATATTTAATAATGTTGAATATTGGTTTGATCCAGCAGCTAGCTAAACTAATATGGCCCCACATTTATACTGACTTAATTTTCAGGAATAAAGGACTGTGTATTTACGTGTGACCAAAGCAAAAAGATAGGCAACACTTGCATATAAATACTAACTAAAATTTTAGCAAATGTTCTGTTGATCTTCTGATCATATATACATATTTGTATATACATACGTGTATACACACACACACACACACACACACACACACACACACCCCTCTTAATAAAGAGCATCTTAGGCTAATCTCCTAAAAAAATACTTTGTTGCTAAAAAATGCTAACCATCATCTGAGCCTTCAGCAAGTCATAATCTTTTTGCTGATGTGGGTCTTCCCTAGATGTTGATGGCTGATGACTAATCAGGGTGGTGGTTGCCGTGGTGGCTGTGGCAATTTCTTAAAATAAAACAATGAAGTCTGCCACATCATTTGACTCCTTCTTTCACAAAATATTTCTCTGTAGCATTCAATGCTGCTTAATAACATTTTACCTGCCATAGAACTAATTAATCATAGTCAATCCTCTCAAACCCTAACCACTGCTTTATCAACTAATTTTATATAATATTATTCAATATTGTGCCTCAGGGAATAGGAAGGTCGAAGGACAGGGAGAGAGCCTGGAATGGCTTGTTGTTGGAGCAGTCAGAACACACATTTATTAAGTTCGCCGTCTAACATGGGTGCAGTTCATGGTGCCCCAAAACAATTACAATAGTAACATCAAAGATCACCAATCACAGATTACTATAATGGGTATAACAATAATGGAAAAGTCTGAAATACTGCAAGAATTACCAAAATGTGACCCAAAGACACAATGTGATCATGTGCTGTTGGGAAAATGGCACTGATAGATTTGCTCAACACAGGGTTGCCTTCAATTTGACAAAACAAAAAAACAAACAAAAAACCCACAGTATCTCAAAGCACAATAAAGCAAAGAGCAACAAAATGAGGTATGCTTTATTTCTAAAAAGAAAAAATTAGCCACTCGAATAAATATAGATAATTCAGCTCAACAAATGTTTATTAAATGACTACTATGTGCTGGTTACTAGGGCTAAAAAAATAAAAATGAAACAGCTCCTGTCCTCAAGTAGTGGGCCTCTTCCATTTATAAAAGTAGGACCAATTTCTCATGTACCACTCTTTAAATTATGCTAATTTACACAGCTACAAGATCCCTTCTTTATTGCACATTTAGCTATTTGTACTTAAGCAAAATGTCCTAAAACTTGGCTTTTATCCAGCCTCTTTCCTATTAGAAATATAAAAACATTTTAAAATGATAATCCTTGAGCATATTTACAAAAGAGCTGATGCAGAAAACATACAGAGCTAGATAAAATAATAAAACCACGCTGACTGGAACCACCTCAAATATATGCCATCTAATATCAACTGGGCCCTCACTGCAGCAAGAAAATCATTTTACACTTCCCTAATCAATTTTGTATCCCACTCACCATAACAGCTATTTCAAACCTTTGCATCCCTACAGCCTCCCCCGGCACCACCTCTCCCAAACCTCTGGGCTATGGACACAGATTCATACATCACTAAAAAAAAAAATTATGAACATTTGTATAAAAGTTCACCTTCCTCCTCTTCTCCTCATATCAGTCAGAAAACACTCTTCTCTATCTCCTCTTTCACTCCTGTCTCAAATAAATAGGTGACATTTCTCCTGGTTAAGACAAACCCCTCTCCATGCACCCTTAATCCTATCCCCTCCCATATCCAGAGATTGCCTCTACTATCATCCTCACACTCCCTCTCCAACTTTCAATCTCTCCTTATCTACTGGCTGTTTCTCTACAGCCAACAAAAATGTCCATGCCTTCCCAATCATTAAAAAAACTTTCATTCAATCTAACCATCCCCACTAGCTAACATCCCATATGTCTTCTCTTCTCTTCTCAGTTAAACTCTTTGACAAAGCTATCCATCTACACTATTGGCCTCTACATTTCCTCTCACTCATTTCTAATCTTTCTGCAGTCTAGCTTTTAACCTCATCATGCAACTGAAACTGCTCTCTACAATTTTGCCTCACGATCCCTTAACCACCAAGTCTAAAGGCCTTTTTTCAATCTTTATTCTTCTTGACTTCCTTGTGGCCTTTGACACTAACACCCTATCCTCCCAGCTACTCTCTCCTGGTTCTCTCCTACCTATCTGACTGCTCCATCTCAGCCTCCTTTGTTGTATCTTCATCCACATCACACTTCTTAACCATGGGTATCTCCCAAGGGTCCTTCCTGGGTCCTCACCTCTTGTCCTGATTTGGTGATATCATCAGCTCCAATGGATTCAACTGTTACTTCCATGCTTCACTGTCATAGGGCACATGGATATAATGTTGGTACCAAAAAGATGGGCATTTCATTTCACAGGAATGTTGGGATCATTAAAATAGCTCTGCAATTTCCTAAAGACAATCCTGGCCTGTTTTCTTTCTGTTCAACTTAAGATCTAATTCATTGTCCATGTATACTTCTGTTCCAGACATACATAATGATGGACAAACTTTATAGAGTGTCCTTCCAAATACATGTTGTAATATGGGTAACAGACATTCTTCCACCATTCAGTCTTTCCTATGTGGATGATCAGGCTCAACTCCTTTAAGTAGTTACAGATCTCTTCCAGTAGATTCTGTAATATTCTACAATTTAATGTAATCTGTACAATGTCATCAACAAACAGGAATATCTAAAGCACCTTGTCATCCACACGTGAAAAGTTCCTCTTCAATCTGGACTGTGAACTATATCTCCTTCACCACATAGAGAGACTTGGTCTCCAAAAAAACAAAAATTAATATCATAGCAATAGCAATAGAAAGTCATATGGAAGGTGTGATACATAACCAATAAGTAACTTCAAAGGGCAGGAGTAAAAGATGTCTTCAGGCAGTCCTATAAGAAGAAAAGATGAGCATATTATGTGGTGAGGGTAAGGAATGATAGGTAGTCACCCAGAGAGCTTCACTGGTACCTTCAAAATGTCAGGCAATACTAAGGAAGCCTTTCAACATATTGGGTGATGAACTTTAACAAGAACAAGGGTCAAGAGTCATACAGAATGGGCAGACACAGGAGGACTGTGATCTTTATCATTGGAGAGGACTTCTAATTCCACAGTTTATAGACTATTAATATATATACAATAAAATCTTTTCCTATGGTACAAAACCCATTGAATACATGCAGACTCAGATCTGAAGACACAGCTACAGTGTACTAAGTCTCAAACTACAACCTCCATGTGGTGTGTTACAGGGTGTGTACAGTGATGGAAGTCTATTGCTTCTACTATGTTGTCTGTCTCTTTGTTCTGAAGAGGATCAATAACATCACAGGGTGGTCTTGCCTTGCATGTGATTTGGATTTACATGAAGCAGAGTTGCAAAAAGTCATCAGCCACACTCTCTCTTCCAGAGTCAGTAAAGTCCAGTGGGTCTTAGATGTCTGACCAAGTTCTAGGTGCTCCACAGCACCTGCTTCCACCGCCTTCTCAGCCATTGGCATAAACTGTTCTCATCCACCAGAGGAAGTCTTCACATGCTTGAGGTAGACATCCCCCTAACTCACCAACAGGTTTAAGGCCTGTGGTTACCCTCAACCTGGATTAGCCCATCTGCTGAGATAGTTTTACTGTGAGGTCACTGTAAATGCTACAGCTTCTTGGAGCCACAGGCAAGACTTGGGTGAAGGTGGACACCAGAGGTGAATGAGCAGCCCTAAAAAAGGCATGCCAAGCCCTCACAGCAGAGGTGCTGAATACCTCATACTCTCACTATAGAGGAAACCTATGAGAAGATACCACCTAAGGGAGGTAAAGCCTGATAGATAAGAACAGACATACACAGAGACAAATGCTGTGGAGATTAAAAACAAGACTTGACAACTGGGATTGGATATATTGGGTGAGTGAAAGTGAGGAGCCAAGGATTATACAATGGTTGTGAAGCTGGATGACTAGAAAAATGATGATGTCCTTGACAGTAACAGGGAAATCTGAAAGAGAAGGCGGATTTGGGAATATGATGCTCAAACAGGAAAATATTGCTCAAATATTTTTAACAGTTTTCCACTGAATGAAAGCCAAACATTTTACATAGTATTCCAGGCCCTCCTAGAATTTACCTTTCCTGGCATTTACCTTCCAAATTTACCTTTCCTCAAATCATACTCCCTCACTCCACTCAAACTGTATTACTTGACATGATCTGAACATATCTTTTCCTTTCTCCACAATTTTACTCACACAGTTTTCAGATTTTTTCACATCCATAAGCAAAAGCCTGCCCATTTCTCAAGTCCTGGCATAAATGTCACCACTTTCATAGCTCCAATTAACAAGCCTTTATTAAGCATCTACTACGTGGACAGCACTTTGTACCTCTCCTATAGAATCTATTACATTCTAGCTTCTATTACTTACTTGTGTGTAAGTCCTACCTCCCTTTGTAGGTATGTAGGTTCTTTAGCCCTGGAACTGTGTTTGATTCTTCTTTGCATCCCATACAGTAATAGCTGAACAGTGATGTTGTCCCCATGAAGCAATTAAAATGTTGAAGAAATTCTAATATTTAAACAAATATTAAACACATAAGAAACATGTGTCACTGAAGACTGATAGCCATAAAAGATGGAAAATCACAAACTAAAGAAACACAGCAATTATCTATTAAAAGGTACATATAGAACCTAACCCAAATTATGTAAATAAATATATGCTTTCTGCCCAATTACGTCAGGAAGGTAAGTGATATGGTAGAAAAAAGACTAGATTTGCAATCAGCACACATGAGTTTGAAGTGCTTCCTTCTCAAATTCTCATAGCACTGTGCCTGACTCTCCTTGGCTTATTCTAGTCTATGCCATTATACTGATTTGTATATGTGGTATATCTCTTCTTTGTTACTGTAAGCTTTGTATGGGCAAGGACTCAGTCATTTTTCATTATATTTGTAGCACCTAGTAAATAGCAGGTTAGTAATGTATGTTGAAATGAAATTAGCATTAAAGCCAACTGCTGTGTTGTTGTTCAGTTGTGTCTGATTCTTCATGACCCCATTTGGAGTTTTCTTGGCAAAGATACTGGAGTGGTCTGACATTTCCTTCTCTAGTTCATTTTACAGATGAGGAAACTGAGGAAAACAGGATTAAGTGACTTGCCCAGGGTCACACAGCTGGTAAGTGTCTGAGGTCACATTTGAACTCAGGAGGAGGGGTCTTCCTGACTCTAGATACTCTAGCCACTGCACCACCTAGCTGCCCTTAGGGCCAACTATGTTAGTTTTAACTGAACAGTCAAATTAAGAAAAATTCAAAGAAAAAAACTACTCCAAATCAGCCCAGTTAGTACTCATTTAGCTATCTGGTTCAAAGATACTGAATCCACACTGAAAATCCAACAAATTTCTGATAATGAGTACATTTTTTCTATTTAGCTAAAGTAGAAGTAACTTGACATTTGCATTACAAATCCTCTCAATTGATCTTTTATGGGTAATAAGACCATTTGTGATTTTTCCCATTTAATATTTTGCTTTCTTGCAGACACTTGAAAACTGATCTCTCAATGTTCTTCAAATTGTGTCATAACATAGATTTCTTCTGTGTGTGCCTGGTCTGGTCCATTTGTTCTTTCCTTCTTTAATGTAATTTCCACTTCCTTTTATGGAGCACCTGGAATCACACCTGAGATCATAGACACAGAACTGAGAAGAAGCCTCAGATATCATCCAGTCTAATTCTTTCATTTTACAAATCAGGAAACAGAGTCCAATGAGCTGGAATTTGAACAAAGGACTTCTGACTCCAAATCCAAAATTCTTTCCACTATACCTCACTGCTGCTCTCCAATGTTAAGAACCCAAAATGTGGTGGTTCCACAGTCATGGATGATGAAAACAGTTTGTTGCACATATGTTCCATCATTCCCTATCCTCCCACTTCTGCATTAAAGTCATCAAAAAACAACATATGAGTTGACTTATTTTCAAAGATCCGGTGAGTTCTCCAGGGAATTTCTATTCCCATGCTGTGCAACAAATGTTAATATATTAAGCCTCAACTGGCTTCCCCACTGTCTTTTTGCTTTTGCTGATCATAAGCTGTTCAAAGCAAGATTATCAAATGTCCCAGAAAATTACATTTCTTCTTGCTTATGACTCTACAAAACCAACTCCGCCAACTCTTCTATTTGTGTAGGTACAAAGACTATAGGCCCTTGCATTTAACTACAACTTTTTGAACAATTCAGTTTCATTTACAATGACATGCCACTATACATATAGATATACATACACACACATACACATGTTTAACTCACATTTAGCATGCCAACAGTTAAATTAATATTCAGTTTGTTTTAAAACTGTGTAATCCTGAAGTACTTTCAAGCCCATTTTTCTGTCACCAAAAATAACAGAGAAAGGGATCTGAGTGTCCGAGTGTCACTTTGTAGCTTTCTTCATGGTCAATGAATTTGCCACCTAGTAGTTATTTAGAGATGAGCTTTCCCATGTTTGTTTAACCTTGTCCTCCAACTGCATGTTGCAAAGATCAGTGCATGAAGCCTTTACAGATCTAGAGAAAATGCCAGAACCTGCGCTCCACTAACATAACTTTCAAAAAAGTAGGGTCACATCCATACCACAATGAGGCACTGGAGGAAGATTTGAGAAGAGGTTTCCATTTCAAAGAGTCATTAAATCATCTAGTTCATCTCCTCACATTTTATAGATAAGAAAATTGAAGCTCACAGAAATTAAGTAACTTATTCAAAGTCACAAAGGTTGGCATTTGACCTCCGATCTTCTAATTTCAGTGTTCTTTCCAATGAGCCACACCGCTCTTCTTTCTGTCATTCAGCACTAACTTTTTCATGTAGCATTTTACACAAATCTTGATCCTTAATCAAATGAAAATAGTTTGTTTCCAATTCCGCACCCTAAATAGTATCAGACCTAAGCCCAACAAGAGTAAAATTTCTTTTGAAGAAACATACAAACTGTATAAAAAATTTCACAGCTATTTCGAGGTCACACAGCTGCCCAGTAAACGGCATAACAAAGTCTGGGTCTTCTGAGTACAAATACATGCTATTTCCACACCTCCAGACTCTTACATCCTTACGAACCCAGAGCACTAACAAATGCAGTTTATTTTCAATGGTGGCAAGTGCCTATAATTCACATAAACATAAAATATAAAGGCTGGGGAAAACACGGTCAAAGGTCATGTTACATTATCACCCTCCCACAAGTCGATAATAAAAACTCTCACTTTGTTTTATCATTTTACAAGTTTGCAAAAGCTTCACACATAATTTATGCCTCACAACAACCCTGTGAGATAGGTACTAAAGGTAGTATCATCCCCATTTTACAGATGAAAAAACAGAGGCTCGAAGATTTGCTCACAACCACACAGTTCCAAGTCCGACGCTATACCACTCCTGACAATGGGAAGCTAAGTACAGCCAACCTGTGTTCATCTAGCCCCGCCCCCCCCAATTCCACAACACACAACGAAAGAAGAAGAAACTACCTGGCTCTCGTCAATGAAGAAGACTCGGTTTCCCATCCTTAGGCAGACACTGTCCTCAGCGACCCCAGGGGCTCCGGGAGTCCCCGGGCTGGGCCTCGGCTGCTCCAGCTGCAGCTTGCTGCCCCCGCCGCTGCGGCAGAAGGTGAAGGAGCAGCGGGTGCCGTGCAGCCTGCGCACCGTGCTGCGGATGATGCGCGCGGGCCGCGCCGCCCACCGCGCCCACAGGTACAGGTAGCACAGCGTGATCAGCATGCCCCGCTCGGAACCCGGCCCGGGCCGCCGGCTCTGCCCCCGCCCCTCCTCACACCAGCGCCCGCGGCCGCTAGCGCTTCATGCCGCGGACTCCCCTCGCCCCCTTCCACTCAAAAGCCTCAAGTGCACGCGTGTAGGGGAAGCCACGAGGCTTCCGAAGCCTCTCCCCCCGCCCCGCCTTCCCCGCCAAAGTCCCCGCCCCCGTCCCCACTTTCGAAGGCAGCCTGCCGGCGAACCACTCACTGGGAGCAGGGGGTCCCAAGTCCCACTGCCCCCTCCCCCGCACAATCTCTACCACTTCCTCCCCGGCCCCTCCTCCTGCTCTGGTTGGCTCTGCTGAAAGAGAAAGCGCGATCCTGATTGGACCTCTCGGGGAGTGACTGGAACAGGCCACGCCCCCCCTCTCCCCGCCTCTCGGTAGGGGGAGGAGCCCAGGCAGGCCCGGAGGCTCCCGCAGTGCGTTTCTGCTGTTCCCCTCTCGTGTAAAATTGCCTATCTGATTTACCAGACTTACCTCTCTGGGCTATTTCCCGTAACCAAATCATAAAAACGTAGATTTTAAAAATATATATATTTGGATTTCTTTTGTATGTTTTCCCAATTACATATGTAAAAAATTACATTTTTAGGAAAAACAGTTTAACATTCATTTTCTTAATTTTGAGTTCCAAATCCTCTCCCTCCTCCGCCTATTAAGAAGGTAAGCAATATGATATCTATTATACATGTAAAGTCATGTAAAACATTTCCATGTTAGCTGTGTTGCAAAAGAAAACAAAAGAAAAGAAACTTTTAACAAAAGTATGAATTGTCTATCTAAATCAGCAGACTTACCTCTCTGGGCTGTTTCCCTTACTCAAATGATAGAAGCATAGATTTTTAAAATATATTTTATCTATTTCATTAATATCTTACCAATTAAATGTAAAAAAATTTACATTCTTTTTTTAAGTTTTGAGTTCCACATTCTCTACCTCTCACCCCTCCCCCACCCAGTGACAAGGTAAGCAACATGATATTCATTATACATATGAAGTTAGGCAAAACGCATTTCCATATTAGTCATGTTGCAAAAGAAAACACAAACCAAAAAAGGTGTTTGGTTTTGGCTGGGTTTTTTTTTTAAGTATGAGAAGCATAGATTTTAAGTCTTGGAAAGTATTTTAGTAAATACTTTACCTGTCTCAACCCCCTCATTCTAGAGTTGAAAATCCAACCTAAAAGAACATCCTCAAGTTTTTCTGCACAATCCAAATCATGGTGGATGTTTTATGCTGTCCTCCAGATCATTCTCCCTTCTTTATCAAGGATGGAAGGAAGAAAATAAGCACTTATTAGTCACCTACCATGTGACGAACACTGTGCTTGGGACTTTACAAATATCTCCTTTGAGTCTCATAACAATCCTGGGAGGCAGGTGCTATGAAACTGGGACAGACTGTGGTTTGCCCAGTGTCACAAAGCTAGTCAACTCTAAAGTACCACCTTAACCACCTCGCTCACAGATGTCCTCTTCTCAAAACAGTTCTAACTCCTAAATTTCAGTTTCCTTCAATTTCATCACTGTCTTCTTCACTTCACATCAACCACATGTAGGAAAGTCACACATGATCTCACCGTTATCCACAAGTATTTACTTTGATAGAAACTCTTAATGTTGCTCTGACCATAACCTCCTATCCATTCCACCTCACCTTCCATTCTACCTCTCCTTCTGCCTTACTTTTCCTAACGTATTCTTTGCCCACATCGAGACTTATATTTCCTCCATCCTTCCGTACTTTCTCAGGTCATTAGATCTGTTCTGACTTCACTTTCCCCCCTTTGCAATCTTAAACTAATAGCCATTTCAATTCTACACTGTATTCTGCTCTTGAATATTTCCTCTGTTATCCTAATAACCTTTCATGGCTTGCCAAATCTCACCACTAAATTACCATCTACCTCCTCTGCACTGCTCCCAGTACAACCCTTCCCCTGGGAGGGGTTGGAAGACAAAGAGGTATCATTGTTGGGAGGTGCCTTACTGTCTGAAGACAAGAGGGAGGTGAAAGTGTCTACCAAACCATAGAAAAAAGTGTCCATCTCCACAGAAGAAGGAAGGAAATCTCTCAGAGGCCTGCAATGCAGTAAAATTTTATAATTCCCTCTCCCCCATGAGGCTTGTATGACAGGATTGTATAATTGACTGGTGGGTCAGGGAATACTAGGTGGGTGTGGCACATGGTACCACAACAGTGATGAGCATCATCGATGATGCAGGAAGTGTTGACATCTTCACTGTAACCCTGATGTTTCTGGTGCTACTCCTGCTCAATGTCCTCATGTCTCTACATTGAGAGGCCCACTATGAACTACAAAGATTTCTCAAACTGCAAAATGGAGAAAACCTTCTTACCATATAGATCAGATCATTTAGATCTGGTAATCAGTCCTTCCAAAGTAGGAGTGAGGAGGAGTGGCAAAGCTTGGAATTTGTGGTCTTCATTCTCCCACATTCTCCACCTTCCATCAGCAACTCTGCTTGGTGGAAACTCCACAGAACATTATGCCTCTCCCAGGATAAGTGGATCACCTGAAATCTCATCCCCATGCAAACTGATTCGATTTTTTAAACTAACATCCTCTTAACTCACTCAGTTGTCTGTCCTAATTGGAGTGCTAAAGTAACAAATGCCCCCCAAAGCCTTCCTTTTTAGAAGGTTGAGAACTTTCCAGGTAACCATTTTACATCAGGGGCTCTCCATGGTTTCAATTCCATGGAACTTCATGTTCCACTCTGGATACCCCCTAGGACTCCATTTATACACACACACACACACACACACACACACACACACACACACACACACCCAGTACTCTCAGCTTCCTTTTGTATGTTGTCTTCCCCATTAGACTGTAGGGCAAGGACTTTCTTTTTCTTATTTGTATCCCCAGCCCTCAGCACAGTGCCTGGCAAATAGTAGATGCTTAATAAATGTTTATTGAATTGAAATGAGATCACTTTCAGGGAGGTGCAACATTCTTTGTTTTGTTTTTGCTATTGTCATATGTGTACTGCCCATATGAGACAGATATGTCCTCATGAGTTCCCTAAATGCAGGTCATGGAGGAGGCATTGATAGACAGCAATGGAATCTTACTCACCCTTCTATAAAAGGAGACAATGATTCCTGCCTTAAGAAGAGCAAGAGATGGGCCATGAGACTAGACACTCTTTCTTCAGTCTTTGAGAAAGGCAGTTATTATAGAATTATAGCTATCACACCTCTAAATATTGCTACCCTAGGTGCATAATTTTGGTTCAAAACAAAAAGCCACTTTCCTGGTTTTTATCCTTTAAAGGGGAAAGGATTATACCAAGCTTAAACCTACAGACTTAACTCCTTCCCACCAAATTTTGGTTGGTAAATCATAAGTAGTGAAAAAAATCCATTTTTCTAAGCTGATGGCAAACAAAAATCAGAGGAGTTGTATAGATTATGCCAGAAATGGAGTGAATGAGCTCTCCCTCTGGGAATGAGATATCTTGGCTCAAACCAAAGGAGAGGCTTCAGTCTCACACAAGAAAAAAATTCCTCTAAGTCTCTAGTAAGGCAAGCTAGAAATCAGGGAAATGTTAAAGAGCTAGTTTACTATATATGTCTGCAGCTTCCAAAGTCTATCTGTCTGTCTTTGGTGACTGTCTCTCTTTCTCTCTGGCTCTCTCTCTTCTCTATCTGTCTCTCTGTCTGTCTGTCCGTCTCTATACATATATATGTATGTGTATATATGTATATGTGTGTGTGTGTGTGTGTGTGTGTGTGTATATATATATATATATATATATATATATATATATATATATATATATATATATATATCTTTCTCCATACCCCACCCCTTGCCCACCTGTCTAGAATTAATCCTGAAGAGAAGCTGGCACCTCACATGTCCTCTGGAAGTATAAAAGTCTTTCTTCTCCCAAAAGCTCTAAGGCCAACTCTATCATGCAAGCATGCCACCTTGCATTAGTTAGGTGGCACCATGGATAGCATGTTCAGCCTGGATTGAGGAAGACCTGAGTTGAAATCCAACCTCAGACACTAGCTGTGTAACCATGGGTAACTCACTTAATCTCTATTTGCCTCAGTTTCCTTATCTGTAAAATGGGAATAATAATAGCACCTACCTCTCGAGATTGTTGTGAGGATCATTGGCTTGTGAGCTCCTTGAGGGCAGGGACTATCTTTTGCCTCTTTGTGTATGTCTAGTACTTAGTACAGTACCCAGCACACAGTAAGCATTTAATAAATACTTGTTTCCTTCCCTTCCCCTTCTACCAATCTGAGGTCACATCAAAGCAGCTACATGGAAATCCTCCAAGCTTAGTGGGCAACTTGGATTGCACTTTTGTTTCTATTTTTGTTTTCCTTTTCCTTTTCCTGTTCCTCCTTTAGTGTAGCCTATATCTGGCATTTTGAATCTCCAAGGTCAGGGTTGAACAGAAACAGCCCTAAAGTCATTTTAAAGACGTTAAGACTTAAGGACCTTACCATCAAGGGATAGAGAATGGTAACAAAAATATCCTAACTCCTCCACCCCATGGAAGATAAGGTAGTTTTTCCTTAGAAGATATTGAAAGCATTTAACCTCTCTGACTCAGTTTACCCACTTATAAAAAGAGAATTGAATAAATGACTTCTAAGAGCCATTCCAGCTAGAAATTTACACATTTATGATCCCTTGGCTTCCATGGTGCTATCCTGATTCTCTGCCAACCTCTTTGACCAAAGAAATAGTATACAGACAGGAGTTAAAAGAAAGCAAGAAAGGGGAGATGGAAAGTGGGGAACGGATTAATCTATCAGTTAATGAATCAATTTGTTGTTGTGTAAATTGGTTCTGCTCACTTCACTCTGCATGAGTTCATACAAGTCTTCCTAGGTTTCTCTGAAACTGACTCAGACCATTCCTTATGATGCAATAGTACACAGTTACATTCATTGAAATCATTCAGCTGTTCCTCAATTGTTTACTCCCTTAGTTTCCAGTTCTTTGCTATAACAAAAGAGCTGTTATAAATATTTTTGTACTTATAATTCCTTTTCCCCTTTCTTTAATTTTTTTTAGCCATAGGCTTAGTAGGTCACTA